ATATAGAAAAAATCAGCCAGGCATGGTGGCGCATGCCTGTAGTCCCAGCTACTCAGGAGGCTGAGGCAGGAGGATCACTTTAGCCCAGGAGTTTGAGGTTGCTGTGAGCTAGGCTGATGCCACGGCACTCTAGCCAGGGCAACAGAGCCAGACTCTGTCTCAAAAAAAAAGATAAGTGTTGGCGACAATGTGGAGAAAGGGAACCCTCGTACACTATTGGTGGGAAAGTAAAATCGTACAGCAGTCATAGAAAACAGTGTGGGTGTTTCTCAAAAAATTAAAAAGGAAACTACCATATGATCCGGCAAGCCCACTTCTGGGTACATACCCAAAGGAAAGGAAATAAGTATGTTAAAGCGGTATCTGCGCTCCCATGTTCACTGCAGCGTTAGTCACGATAGCCAAGGTATGGAATCAACTTCAGTGTCCAACAAATGAATGGATAAAAAAATGTGGTATATACACACAATGAGATATTATTCAGCCATAAGAAAGAAGGAAATCCTGCCATTTGCAACACAATGGGTGAACCTGAGAACATTATGCTAAGTCGAATAAGCCAGACAGAGAAAGACAAATACAGAATCTAAAAATCTTGAATTCACAGAAGCACAAAGTGTAATAGTTGTTGGCTGGGAGTGGGGGGAAGATGGGGGAAATAAAGAGATACCAGTCAAAAGGTACAAACTCTCAGTTATGAGATAAATAACTTCTGAGGATCCAGTGTATAGTATGGGCGGTGATGGATGTGTTAATTTGATTGTGGTAATCATTACACAATGTACATGTATTTCAAATCAGAACGTTAGGTTGTCTATCTTTAATATATTCAATCTTTGTCAATTTAATATTTTAAAATTTAGAAAGTGTGTATGTGCATATGCAGTACATGTGAAATGCACAGAGCAATGCTTGGCTCTAATTTGCCCCCACGAAAGTATTAACTATTATTTCAAAAAAGGAAATATGAGTGACCTCGTATATCACATGATTTGAATCACAACCTTTAAAACCATGAGAGCACACATTTGTTTGATATGTTCCTAAAATGTATGGTAACAAATCCCTACTTACATAAATTCACTGCGCCCAGATCAAATTTCCTTAGAGGACATTAAAGCAACATGCCTACATGTGTACACAGACATGTACTGTGTATATATCATACACTCATACATGAAATTCCTTCTATTACTCACGTTCTCATAGAGAGCTTGAAGGGTCTCCAGGTCAACCACTGAATTGTCCAAGTTCACAACAGCTGTGAAAAAAAGACAAAAGAAAGAATATAAATTGCCACAAGCCAGTTGTGAAAAGATGTTTGGCCATCTCAGGCAATCGTGTTCATGACCCAGCAGTCAGAGGGGGAAGGGAATTCAACTTTGACGTTTCCACTTGCTCCACTGCAAAGACTGCACCGGGAATTTCAATGGGCCAGCTGTCAAGTGTTAAAGCTTTCACTTGCTCCACAAATGCTAAATCCCATGAATATGGCCCAGGAAAAGGTCTGAGAGAAACTGCAGGTCTGTCTTACACAGCCCAACTGAATGAATTTGAAAAATCTCCTTAATATTAGAAAAATAAGCAAATTACTCCTGCCACTGCTGTATCCTAGTTTTATACCAATAAATGCTCATATCTGCCAATTTACTTAAAACATTTGACAAAGGTTAAATCTAATCATGAAACTGATGGACTTATTGGAAGTGATAGACACATTTCCTGTTATAATTCCTCTAAGTGTTATAATCAAAGGATAATTCATTGATATTGGTATTGAGATGAGCACAGATTAATCCTTAAAATTCCATCCTTAAAATACAAACTACCCATGTTATACATGGAAGAAGCAGAATAGATAATCGAAAATCAGGAATATGTTCTTTATGTATTTGTTTGCCTAGGAAATGTTACACTGCATTTTGGAGTAGATGTACCTTATTACTTGGCTTAGGCATAGGTTAATCAAAATCATTCTGCATTTTCTACAAACATATTAGCTAGAAACAAGGGGAATTTGCCCTGATCAGATTTGCAGCAGGTAACCAGTGAAGCTCTTGTGTTGTTAAAGATTTCTAGGAGAAAAATCACCAAATAGGTAAACACAAATTGGATATATTTATTTTGATAACTGAAGCATTTTACAACATCTCTTCTCTCAAAGCTTAAAGTACACGAGATATTTTCTAGTTGACTCTGGCAAAATCCCAAGAAAGAATTAAGTTAAAGACAAGTGGGAAACGAAAGCGTAGGATGGATGAGAAATCTAACCAAAGTAATTTAGCATTTCTATTTGGAGCTGGGAACAGAGCCCAGATTCACCAACAAGTATTATACCAAGTAGAATATGATACTTCCACCCTAATAATAATCCACTATCTCTGTTTCCAAAAAAATTAGTTCTCGATACAAATCTAGGAGTTTAAGATTCTCAGACAAATCTTCTTACTCCTTAGAACATATAAAGCAAACATATCAAAAACTGTTTTCATGCTTTACAGTAGTAAAAACATAGTCCAACTAACTTCGACTGTATTTCAAATATTAATTGAAAGGGATTAACTACTAATTTTCACTTTCGTACTATGTAGCAAAATGCATAAAACCCAGGTAAGACAGTAAATTTATATATGGAATTA